TCAAAACTGGGGACCAATAGGTAGCATCATGATAAATGGAGGAAAGATTGACGTTAAGGATTTTGCCTTGCTCAGATACATAATCAGTGCTCGTAGAAGCAGCAGTCAGGAGATCAAACGATGTGCTGCATTGTGTAAATCTGCACAAGGCCTCTCGAAAGTGCTGGAAAGCAAGGGTGTTACTTTGAGGATGACAGGGTGCCTTACTCAAACCAGGGTGTTTTCCATTGCCTTGCCGCACGCTTGTGTAAGCGTAGCCTTGGTTGTAGGAGCCTGGTGGTACAGTATTTCGATCTGCAAGGTCACAGCAGTTCAAAAGCACCAGCCACATATCTGAAGAAAGATGGGGTTTTCACTTCTGTAAAGAGTTCAGGAAACTCACAGGGGCCATTCCACGTGATAGTAAGTTTGATTTTGTGTTTGCTCATCTTTATAATACTGCCTTACACTCAACATGATGTAGCTATCTATCGCTTAGGCCTTCTTTAATTTCTTCCAGCAGAATTTTTTAGCTTTTAGCTGACAAGTCTTACTCTTCCTTGGTTAAACTGAATGACAATAGTTATCACTAAGTATTCTTTTTGCTGTAATATAAATGGAATTGTTTTCTTTTCTTTTGGAATTGTTCATTGCTAGTGTATAGAAATACACCATACATTTTTATGCATTGATTTTTGTATCTGGAAATTTCGCTAACTTTGTTAGAGCCTTCTAATGTCTTTTTGTGGATTCCTTGTGGTGTTGTAGACAGAAAACCGTGTCATCAGTGAATCAAAATAATCTTACTTCTTTCCAGTCGTCTTCTTTTTCTAAACTGCTCTAGCTAGAAGGTCAGTACAATGTTGAAACGCTTTCAGATGTTACCGGGGAGTTTTCTATGTATGGCCTTTGTGATGTTGACAAAGTTCCCTTCTGTTCCTTGAAGATGTTGAGTTTGCCATATGCTCTTTCTGCACCAAGATGATCATGGGGGCCCCCCTTCACTCTGTTAATCACATTGATTGTCTAGTGTTGGCCACCCTTCTATTCCTGGGATCAATCTCACTTGGTCCTTGTGTTAGGCAGGGTTCTCTAGAGAAACAAACCCAATACACTTATGAATATAGATATGTGTGTGTGTTTGTATATATATATATATATATATATATATATATATATATATATATATATATATATATATATATATATATATATATATATGAAGATAGGTTTATACAGCAAGAAGGAATATCACAGCTAATTAGTCCACACAGCAGTACAGAGGGCTCAGTTCAACTCACTTCCATGGAACAGTTAATATACTGGAAGCCCTTCAACTCACGAGGGCCGCTGAGTCCAAGATCAAGGAAGCAGACAGCATACTCCTTCCTCAGGCAAGGCAGGCAGGGTGGTAGGCAGGAAACAGCAGGGTGGGTCAACAACAGTCAGTAACTCAGGAGCTTCGTGAATCAGGATATCAAACTCAAGCAATGCAAGGTGATAGGAACCACCAGACTCCAGTTCAAGTGATGTACACACCAGCAGCATGGTGAAGCAGGTCTCTAAGGAGCCTCAAGCTCTAGCAACACGATCCATGGGCTGGCTTGGCCCACATGTAGTCTAACACAGGTTGAGGCAGAGAACTGGCTAAAGCAGCAGCACACTGGGCTGATCACCAGTGAGCAAGAGAGATGAGGGCGGGCCTTGCAGAGCCATTTATCTTTTTGCTCTCCAATCAAACTGTGACCTTGTTAATCCCACATATTCCTATTGGCTAGGTTGGCAGAATAAAGCTATCACAGTCTTTATCTTTTTTATATGTTACTGAATTTGGTTTGTTAGTATTTTGCTGAGGATTTTTGCATCTGTTTGTATCTGCTTCTGCCTCCCCGTCTTATCAGATTGGCTTCCTCCATGGCCACCATCTGTGTGTGTGTGTGTGTGTGTGTGTGTATGTCCTCATGTAAATCTACATTGGAGGAGCCACCTGAGATAATACACTGCCCTTGACTTAAGCCTTCAGTAGATCTTAGAAAACGCTACACCAGCACTTGCCACTCTGCGTCCTTTTTCTTCACCTCTGCAGAGCATCCCATTGCACGGACAGGCCATAATTCGAGCAGCTAGTGGCCTGGTCATTGAGGCTTTTAAGTTTTTCCTGTTGTTAACAATACTACTGGAGCAATGTTTTTGTACATATATCTTAACATGTCCATAGGGTCTGTTTTCAGCGGTGGAACTGCTGGGCAAAGGGTGTGTGCATTTGAAATTTAATAAAACTAAACTTCCTTTCAGGAAGTTTGCACCACGTTTTATTCACACTTGTGTATCCTGATGCTACTTTCTTCCCAATAAATAAAACACTGACTCTAATCAGGTCTTCAAGATGAAAAGTCTGTCGTCGGTCTTGGTGCTGAGTTTGTCACAGAGCCCAAGAACGGGCCGCCCATTAGTGAGCTGATGAATGAGGCCCATGCTGACATGAAGCTCCGTGAAGAAGGAGCGTATGTAGTTTTTAATGCATGGGACTAGAACAGCTGGTTATTCTAATGGAAAGAAATAAAATTTGGCTCTTAACACATCATGTACAGAAATCAATTCCTAGGTGAAAAGTTCTAAATGCAAAGACCAGACTGTAATAAAACATAATAAGGTGATGTAGAAGAGTGTTTTCCTGTTTGGGGTGGGGGATATTCCTTTAATAGGCAGAAAAGGCACCAATCGTAAATGAGCAATAGTTCTGCCTATATTAAAACTTGCTGTCTGTTGAAGGGCCTTATGCAAAGTGACATGACAAAGCACACACTGGGAGAAGGTACTGTAACTTCAATAACTGACCAGAGGTTAGTAGCCACAATATAAAAAGAATGTGCACAAATGAGTTTTTTTTGTTTTGTAAATATATAGGCATAAATATTTTAATGATAGAAAAGAGAAAAAGGCAAATTTCCCAGAAGGGGGAAACACAAGCTGCTCCTAAATATATGGATTTAAGTGAAACCTGTTGCAGCTAAATCTATTTCACCTCCTAGCGACCCTAGTACAGTCTGTGAGGGTCACCTTCCTGAAGGTAGCTGCTGTCTCTTCCTCCCAAGGGGCAGCTGGTGGGTTCCAACCACCCACAGTTAGCAGCAAGTCCCCAACCACTGTACCACCAGGCTCCATCAAATACGTGACCCAAACCAGCCCACTGCCGCTGAGTCTATCCTGGCTCATAGCGACCCTGTATCAAGCGGTGCTCACACTCATCCTTAAATGGGGAAACCAGAAGCAGACCACCTTAAGATAGTAATTTTATTACCAGAGTGTCAACAATCAAATTAAGAAACAAAAACCCTCTTCAAATACCAAATGGGGGCAAGGGCATGAGGTCCAAGGTCATCCTCGGGGCACGGCCACATTGGCAAGGAGTTTGACATGTCCAAGTGAACATGCAAACACACACCCTTCAGCCTAGCAATGACATTATCCGACATGGTCGAGTGTCTCGTTAGCATGATTATTCTGAAAAGGAAACATCAGATGGCGAATTGGGGCAAGGTGCCATAAACAGGAAGACCTACAAGAAGAGTGGTCCAGCTCGGAGGGGGGCTGCAGCAGCATTCAGCATTTCTAGCATCCCGTTGCACCATTTATGGAAAACCCCCCTCTTCCCACTGCTAGTCTCAGTCAGCCTGGACAGCCGAACTCAGTGACATCTGACCACCTCGTCAGTTTGGAAATACTCCTATTTATCATTAAAAGCCAGGATAGGGCCTCACTCGGAGATAGTCCTTTTTTTTTCTGACGAAATCTTTATCCTCAGGATGCAGGGCGAGCTCCCTCTTCCTTTCTCAAAGTGCCACATCACAGGCAGAGCTCCAAGCCTTTCAGTTGCATGGGGCGCAGCACCGGGTCAGGTAAGGCCGGACATTTATAGTATTCGAAGAGGAAATGGGAAGCTAGGCGAGTCTGTGTGTGCGTTAGAACCAAAATTAGTGGTATTACCGTGTATTTCGTGGGTAGGCCAGTGCCACAAGTATCCCTTTTTATAGGCGTCTTGGAAATGGTAGCTCTGTACGTCATGGTGTAGCCAGAAATCCTACCCGCACAGTCTAGCTGTGTGACCCTAGGTATGTCACTTAGCCTTTCTGGACCTTGGTTTCCTCAGCAGGGAATTGGAGATAACAGTCACAGAGGGTTATTGCAAGCATGAAGTGAAGTCATAGAATCCACATAGGCTACTACTAGGGTTGCTACGAGTCATCATTGACTCAATGGCAGTGAGTTTTCAATAGAACGGTTCTGAGAACAAAGGGTGGCCTAAGTGACAAGTATGATCACCTACTTTTCTCCGGGTGGCTGTCAACTTAAGGCATTCACTGTTTCTGCTTGTCCGGGGTTTTGGCTCAGTCAGTTGGTGTTCCGAAGTGGCATAGTGTGATCCAAAGAATCAGGTGGTGGTGGTTGCTATCATTTCACCAGCTTTGCCGCTCTCCTTCCATGCCACGGCTATGGACACTCGGGTAGGCGGTGGCCCGCTGCAAGCTGCGTTTACAATGACCACCGTTCTGGATGTCTGTGAGCTTGAAAAAGGAACCCTGGTGTAATTCTTCTAACCGCTAGACTCGCCACAGGAGAAAGACAGGCTTTCTCCTCTTGACAAGAGTAAAGCTTTACAGGCTCCGAAACTCACAGGGGGTGGACTGGATGGCAGTGAGTGCTTGTTTTGGGTGTTTTGGTGAGCTTGAATGTGAGAATGACTACTTTAATTAGTTCTCTTCATGCGAAGCCTGACCTTTGTTTAAACGTGTTGGCCTTTTGCATGAACACACAGATGGAAGGCCATTTCAAGGATGAGCGCTCAGACTGCGGAATGAAGTGCCTTCCCACACCCTGGGGGATGGGCATACGCATAAAACGAGGGACTCATTGGCTGTAGTTGGGCAGCAAAGCCAGTGAGCCTTCTTCTGGTGAGGGGGTTGTGCTTCTGCAAAACATTAAGGATCACGGGGGCCAACACGTGGTTCAACGCCCTGTCGGTTGTCTTTTCAGACATGCTGAGGACGGCCCTACTGTGCGCCACGCTCGCACTCCTGCGGGCCCAGCCCTTCCCCTGCCCACCGGCTTGCAAGTGTGTCTTCCGGGATGCTGTGCGCTGCTCCGGGGGCAGCGTGGCCAGCATCTTGGCGCTCGGTCTGCCCACCAACCTCACACACATCCTGCTCTACCGCATGGACCGCGGCATCTTGCAGAATCACAGTTTCACCGGCATGACGGTCCTGCAGCGCCTGATTCTCTCCGACAGTCACATTTTGGCTATTGCCCCTGGCACCTTCAATGACCTGATAAAACTCAAAACCCTGAGGTTGTCACGCAACAAAATCACTCATCTCCCGAGCGCGCTGCTGGATCAGATGGTGCTCCTGGAACAGTTGTTTTTGGACCACAATGCACTACGCAGCGTTGACCCAGACATGTTTCAGAAGCTGGTTAACCTGCAGGAGCTATTCCTGAACGGGAATCAACTAGTTTTCCTCCCCGCTAATCTCTTCGAGCGTCTGGGGGACCTGAAAGTGTTGGATTTGTCGGGGAACAATTTGACCCACCTGCCCAAGGGGCTGCTGGGGTCACAGGTTCGGCTTCAGAAACTTCTGCTGTCCTCGAACCAGCTCACGGCCCTGGACGCGGGGCTGCTGGACCGCCTGGGCGCCCTGCGGGAGCTACAGCTCCACTCGAATCGCATCCACTCCATCGCCCCCGGGGCTTTCGACCGGCTGGGCCACCTGAGCGCTTTGACCTTGTCCCGAAACCGCCTGGTGCTTCTGCCCCCCGCCCTCTTTCTCCACGTGCACAATGTCACTCTCCTGACCCTCTTCGAGAACCCGCTGGAAGAGCTCCCCCCGGTGCTCTTTGGGGAGCTGCCGGGCCTGCGGGAGCTGTGGCTCAACGGCACCCAGCTACGCACCCTGCCCGACGCCGCCTTCCGCAACCTGAGCGGCCTGGAGGCCTTGGACCTGAGCCTGAGCCCGCGCCTGAGCGCGCTGCCCGCGGGGCTGCTGCAGGGCCTCGGGCGGCTGCGCGAGCTCTCGCTGCGCCACAACCGGCTGCGGAGCCTGCCCGGCGCGCTCCTCCACAACCTCAGCAGCCTGGAGCGCGTGCAGCTCGACCACAACGAGCTGCAGACCCTGCCCGGCGACGTGTTCGGGGCCCTGCCCCGGCTCGCCGAGCTCTGGCTGGGGCACAATCCCTGGCGCTGCGACTGCGGCCTGCAGCCCTTCCTGGGCTGGCTGCGGCCGCGCGGGCACCTCCTGCGCCCGGCCGCCGATCCCCCGCAGTGCCGCGGCCCGGGCCGCCTCGCCGGCCGGCCCCTAAATGCCCTGCTGGAGAGCGACGCGGGCTGCCCGGACCCCCGGGGGCCGCGCCCCCACCCGCCCACGGAGCACTCCCTGCCCGCCGCCCTCCCGGCCTGGGGGCCCAACAGCTCGGAGCCCTGGGCGTGGGCGCAGCTGGTGGCCAGGAGCGAACGCGAGGACCACAGCCTGTTTTGGGGTCTTTATTTTCTGCTTTTAGTCGCTCAGGCCGTCATCACTGCCATCATTGTGTTTGCCATGATTAAAATCGGCCGGCTCTTTAAAAAATTAATCACAGAGCGGGCGCTCTTTTGAGTCCATGGGGAAGCCTTACAATTATTTAAAGCGTGTCTGTGTAAGAGCCCAGACAGACTACTAGGTCTTCCTCCCCTCCGCTCCCCTCTCTCTCCCTTACTGTACCCTCTCCATTCTCCATCCCCGCCTGCCCATTCCCAGACTCCCTCCTTTCTTCCTCTCCCTGGCGCCTCCCCCTCCCTCCTGCATTTCCCATCTCTGTGGCCCCCTGCTGCAGCCTTTACATTTGAGAACTGACTCGTGGCGTCCTCAGCCTGGCCCTTTAACGTTCTGTTGTGCCTGGTGGGGAGTGGGGTGTCTGTCTGTAAGGGGGAATAAATGGCCCCACTTTGGGGCGGGCTGCTTCCTGCACATGTCATGTTAATGAGACGAACGAATGAATTAAAACATGGAATATGTATATCCCAAGTGATGATTTCTCCTGGGGGGAAAGGATGGATTTAGCTTTCTTCTTTTTTAAATTTATTGGGAACTCTTTTTTTTTTTAATCTTTTTATTGGGGGTTCATACAACTCTTATCACAATCCAGACATCCATCCATTGTGTCAAGCACATTTGTACATTTGTTGCCATCATCATTCTCAAAACATTTTCTTTTTACTTGAATCCTTGGCATTAGCTCCTGGTTTTTCCCCTCCTTACCCGCCCCCCTTCCCTCATGAACCCTTGATATTTATAAATTATTAATTACTTTTTCATGTCTTACACTGACTGATGTCTCCCTTCACCCACTTTTCTGTTGTCCGTCCCCCAGGGAGGGGATTATATGTAGATCCTGTGATCGGTTCCCCCTTTCTACCCCACCTTTCCCT